CCCGCAGGTCGGGCACGTGTACTTCCTCAGGATCGGACATGCCACCTTCCCGTCAACACCCTTGAAGACGTGGCTCACGTACACGCTCTCCATCTCGCCGTTGTTCTTGCAGAACACGCACCAGCTAGGGGTGAAGCGTTGACGCGCCTTCTTGTTCCTGCCGGACGGCTGTTTCCCGACCGCCTCCGACGCCATATCATTGCATACCTGAACAAAGAAACAAAACGGGATAAATAACCCACCGGAAAAAAACCTACTCGCCTTTTCCCCACCCCCATCTTCCTCTCTAGAAAATTCAATATCTAAATGTTACCTCGAGGTCGATCCAACCGTCGAACAGAACGGGGTGGATTTCGCAATCCACGCCGTTCCTCGGGAAATCGAACCGCACCGGATCCGAGACGGGTTCCCCATCCGCGGGTTTCCAAGGCTCGAGCATCGACATGACCAGCGCGTTCAATCCCAAGTAATCCTTCATGGGCAAAAAATAACGATCTTCAAAATTCATCGTGAACGCCTCTGCAGTTTCCTCCACAAATGGCTCCTCCGGTATGTGTGTGTCGGACGAGCTTGTTGGGGTGCTATCGCGAACGAAGTCTATCGACCTTTCGAAGCCAGGCACGCGCAGTCTGGTTTCGCTAAGGTTCGGAGGTCGGAATCGGTGTCAACTTACAGCCCAGATTTTACGATTTTACAAGTCCAGAAAAGTCGAAAATTTTATCTAAGTCCAGAAAAGTCGAAAATATTTCTAAGTCCAGAATTGTCGAATATTTTTCTAAGTCCAGAAAAGTCGAAAATTTTTCTAAGTCCAGAAAAGTCGAATATTTTTCTAAGTCCAGAAAAGTCGAATATTTTTCTAAGTCCAGAAATCTCTAGCTTTAAAAAAAAAATATGTTTGCTGTTATCGGTTAAGCGATCGGAGACCGACGAACGGAGTCCGATCGCCGTAGCAGGGTCACCACGAGCAGGTTAACAGCATCGACCCCACCCCCACACCCAACCGCTGCCTTCGGATGTACCGAGAAGGACGACTTCCTCGCACGGATGCGAATGCCGGTTCGAAAGTCCCGACGACGAAACTTGTGCACTGAATCGTCTTCGAGACTTTCGGATCGGCGTTCGCACCCGACCGAAAAGGCCGAACCTACCCGTGCGGATGGGACCGTCGAACCGTCCGCACGATGAACGAGACTGGCACACTGAATCGTTCGTCGTACGGGCTTTTTGGCGGTCCATTCCGCAAGGAAG